GAGCACTCTACTACTTAAGCCACAACACAACACCACTTCTGCTTTTCTGGCAGTTCGTTGGAGATAAGAGCTTCAGAGTTTTTCCAGCCCAGGCTGGCTTTGAACCCTGATCCTCAGATCTCACCTCCTGGGTGCCTAGGATGACAGTCATGAGCTAGTACCACCCGGCCAAAGATACTTTTCCATGCCTGTCATCCTATCCCCTCAGGAGACTGAGATCTGAGGACTGCAGTTGGATGCTACCCTTGGCAACAAAGTCCATGAGAACTCTTTATCTCCAATTATAAACACCCAAACAAGTTGGAAGTGGAGCTGTGGCTCAAATGGTAAAGTGCTAGCTTTGAGTATAACGACAAGGGATAGGACCCAGTCCCTAGTTTCAAGCTTTTTCTAAAAAAGACCCACCCAAGAAAGGAAAGCAGGTGGGCATACGCGAGCTGAAAGCTCACACATAGTACTCAAGACTCCCAGAGCAGACCCCATCCTGCTCTGATTCTCTAGATTCTATGTCCTATGTCATGGTAATCTGAGACAGAACTTACCATGCACCAAGTCAGGATGTTCTAGTACAATCGCATATTCAGGATCCCCTGACCTTATCAAAGACTCAAGATCTCTCACTGTGCTGCCTCTACACTGGATAGGGAGGTGAGGTCTAGTTATCCAACCACAGAATGTGGAAATGGAAGGATTTCTCAGCCAAGGGACGCAGACTCAAGGGCTCCAGGTACCTCTCTCTCAAGAAGGAGAAAAGGGCTGATCTCTCCCAGGAATGTTCCTTGGTTGTGAGTATCCTCAAATAAACAACCCTGCTCAGAAACCAGTACCTCTGGTTTTCCCACCAGCCTCTCTCCAAACCGGCACCACCTTCAGTCTGCCTTCTCTAAATCCCAGATCTGGCATCTAAACTAAAGGCTGAGCCAGCAAAGAGACCCATCTCTTCCTCTGAGAATGGCAATCACGGGGTCCTCGTGCCCCCTAGAGGAAGTCTGGGGCAACAAGGGTCCTTACTCCCACCCTCATTCTCTGGCTGTCCTGTGCTACTGGCCAGTTTACTTCTGTCTCTGGTGGAGGAAAGAACAGGGCGGGGGTGTATACTTCAGATTGACCCCTGGAAAGTCCCAGTCCTCAAGAATGTACTACACAGGCATACTGCAGTGGACGATAGCCAGGTGGTCAATGGTGAACCCAATGTGCCAGGACTCTTAATGGCTCTATCACTTTTGGTCTTGGTTGTCAGGCAAAGTCATGGCTACAATGTCCTGACACTTCGAACCTGTGACCATCTTCCCTCTTCCTCTTCCTGCTTGTTCCTTGCCCCTCCACCGACACTCCCTCACAACAATACCTCCCTAGGCCTTGGACAGCTTGTTCTTATCTGACCAGAAAATAAACTCATTGGCACCAGGGATGATTGAAACCTGGTGACTTGCCCTGAGTCCTAGTGTTTACCTGAGGTTGCTTCCCTCTGCAGTCGGCTACCACACAGCTCCTGGATATCAGAAAGTTGCTAAGGTGTCAGTAGCTTGGTCTTACATACTGGCTTTAGCCTCTGAAATTGTCTCCACATAGATTGTGAATGGTTGGCTCCTTTGTTACAGGGCCTCCAAACCAAGTCTCACATGTTCTCCCTTCTTCCTTCCTTTCCACTTTTTCTCCAACCAGACTTCCCTCCTCTTTCTCTCTTTCCTTCCTTTATCTCACTCCTGGACCTTGATCTCGGATCCTAGGAGCTGTCCCTGAACATTTTTACTCAAGGCCAACAGATTACGGCTTGAGCTGTCGCTACATTTCTGGTGTTTTCTTTTTGGTAGTTAGTTGGAGATAAGAGTTTTACAGGCTTTCCTGCTTGGGCGTCAAGCATCCATCCTCCCATCACAGCCACCTATGTAGCCAGGATGACAGGCGTAAAGCACTGGCATCCAGCTCAAACCAATGTTTCTTCATGTGCTGTGGAACCAGCACTGGAAACTCTCATTGTCTATGACCCCTCCAGAGCCTGGTGCACACTGTAACTCTTTGTGGATAAATAAATGAGCATCTGTCTACAAAAATATTACAGAAAAGTCCCATCCCATTCAGGTAAGCATCCTGGTGGGTGGGGCAAAGCCTGATGTAGCTCTCCCACAGTTCTCCCTTCTCCCTCTTCCCACCCTCCTGGTGCCACAGAACTTAACTGTTTTGGCTCTGAAGACAGGATCCATGGTGTGCTTGCTGGATTCTGGGGCCTCTGGGATGCCTATCTTCTCAAAGATCTCTGGCCAGCGGCTGACCGCACGGTGGCACTCAATTCCCCACTCAGGAGTGAATGAGGTTGCCATGAGCTGAAGGTCAGGCTCAAGGGGTCTACTCTCCTACACCTGGGGCCAGCCAGGATGGCCCACCACATCTGGCCCCCAAGTTTCATGTTGCAGAGAAAGGATTCTCGAAACATCTTGGGTTTCTGAATCTCCCAGAATCCAGTGAAGGTGCTGAGAATCCTCTCTACTCACATCTGGCTGGCTAGGAATGGTGAGGTCACAATCTCTAATCCCCATGACATCCTCAATGTTATGTCTAGGTGGCAGGACCCCTACCAAGAAGACCACCAAGAATCAGACTCTACAGCTGTTTTATTTAAACGGGCTGCAGCTCGGGCCTTTTCCTACACTCTGTCACAGCAGAGCCCATGAGGAGAGCCCTGAGCTAAGGATTTACAGGTCTTATGAAGGCACACAACCAGGTGCTTTAGTACCATGTGTTGCTCTGCTCTGAAACAAGCAACAAATGGTGACTGCCTCAAGTACTTTAACCCTTCACTCAACTTGGTGGTCACACTAGAGAGAGTCAGAGGAGAATCAACAGCTGCCGCATAAAAGCAATCAAGGCACGATGTTCATAGCAGGAGACCATCTGGCTTGGGAACTCTGCTTGTTATACTTTGAATGTCATTGATTGTTGGCTGAAATGGTTCATCTAATTTGACCCATAATCCCAGGCGTTAGTGGAAATTGCCAGCTTCAGAAAAAAAAACCTGGAAAAGGTGGCATTTTAGTTGTCCCAATCAAACTTAAAGGGTTCCAAAGTTAGTGGACCCCTTTTCTTTCCAGACAGCCTACATCAGGTTACAGAAACTGGCATTCAGCAAGCCCTAGCTAACTGCCATGGCCTGATACCGAGCAGGCTCCAATAGGGAGAATGCACTTGCCTACCACTGCCCAGCTGGAAACAGCACAGGCAGGACATAGATTAGAGTCTGCAGGATTCCAGGGAGGACTTCCCACTAGTGCACTCCCCTGGGAGGTAATCCATGCCACCAGTGGGAACCCAAAACCCCCTGCCCAGATGCCCATGGACACCGTCAATGCCCTGGGTAAGGTTGCCCTCTCATCTTCGGTAGTGGTGAACCATCTGCAATATCACACCGTTCACCACTTCCTAGACCCTCCTGGCTTCACAGCCCCTGCCCTACTCACCCCCCTCCATCTTGTTCCCTAATTACATTTGGCCAACACATTCCCAACTCTTAATTAGCTCCAACTATACAAACGAGAGCAGACTGTCTGGCTGGAAGAGTTTGGCTGTGGTCACACTAGCCTCACAATCCTTCAGGCTTAAGACAGAAGGTATCAACTTTGGTCTGTGGTTCACACAGGCCTCCTAGGCGAGACCCACGCAGGCCCAGCAGCTACTGTGGGCTATAGGAAAGGGGGAAGAGAGAGGTGGAAAGGAATGTCTACTGAAATCTTCCCCAAAGCAGCCATGAAACAGTGATGGTGAAAAAAATTATGGCTGGTCTCATACTTCACATTGCTGAAAAAAAGAACAATAAATACACACACACACATACACACACACACACACACCACACACACACACACACACACACACACACACACACACACACACAAATCCAGAACAGTGACTGTAGAGTCATCCATACAGCACCTGCAGTTTGCCACTGATCACTCACCTGAGCACAGTCAGGCTCTCTCTCTCTTTCTCTCTCTCTCTCTGTCTCTTTCATGCACACACACACACACACACACACACACACACACACACACATAGACTCAGAATAGTGCCCCTCCTGAGTTTGTTGGTTCCTCATCTGGGACAATGTACAAGCTGGAGCACGGGAGTTCCCTTGTCACAACCAGGGGCTCGACCCAAGGAAGCACCACTCTAATAATGCTGAACCACCCTGCCTCTCCCTTTCTCCAGGGCCAGACACTTTCCCTTGGGAATAACCAGCCATGATTCCCCATTCACCAAAACCCTAGGCCAGGGCTCTGGGTGAAGGAGTCCTGAGACAGGTGGCTCTTCAGAGCCTGGACTGAAAACAAGCAGGAGATCATGGTGTATCCACAGAAATGTCTGACCAAGGATGGGGGCAGTGTTGGGGAAATGGATGAGGTCCTAAAGGCTACATACATGGATGAACTTCCTACTCCAGCCTAGGTGCTTCTGGGTGACTTGGTGGATTCTTGGGGAGGATGAGGAAACCAGATGGGCCAGGAGCACCAGCAGATGGTGGCAGAGCTGGGAAATGTGATCACCCTGTGAGTGCTGTTGACAGCTGGAATGGGGGGACCAGCTGGGTGTACCTGTGTTGGAGGGGTGTGTTCTTCCCTGACATTCACCTTCTATCTAAACCCTAGTGCCCTCACCTCCCTAGTGGGCTCTTCTGGGACCCTCCTCAGGGGAAAGTGTGACTGAGCACAAAAGACAAGGGCTCACACAGAATGGGGGGCTATCTTCTTGTTTCTTAAAATCAAGGGATAACATATGTATTTAGACATATTAGCAGCGAAAAATGTATGCTTCAACACACTTATTGGGAAAAAGTCTGAAAATATTACTACACTGAATTCAAGGGTATTCGCAGGACACCTGACAGAGAAGTTCTCTAGAACATTTCAAGAAATTAAAAAGGGGGGGGGGGAAGGGAAAGGGTCAAAAGGGAAATATCCTCAGTTTAATTGACAAAGTTCAGTGCTTGTTCTGACTTAATTTCTGTCTCTCCCCTGCCCTGTCCCCAAAAAGTTTCCAGCTGAGTACATCACTTAGACGAAAGTTCATCTACTGGAATAAAGGGAGAGACCACTTGGGCAGGTGACACAGGAGAGTCGGTGGTAGTGTTGACTTTAGCTGGTGAGTTACAAGAAGATCCCGCACTGCTGCTGTTTCCATCCAGGATATCCGAAGACACACACACACCAGGATCTGACAGCTGTGCTACGTCAGAAGAAAGCATGTTGGTGATGCCCTGGAAAAATCTCTTTGGCTGATACTTAGTTTCCATTTCACATTTTCTTTTCAATGGTCCAAGAACACTTGGTCTGATACAATTGATGGGACTCTGGTTTCTCCGGGTGGTAAATCGGGTCGTCGGGCTCGGGATGGGGCTTGGAGGCAATCCATTGCTACTCACAAAACTTTGCAAAGATGGTGAAAAGCACTGCTTCCCAATACCCCGGGTGGGTGATGGTGCTGGTGACACAGGAATGAAATCCATGCGCTTGGGTGAAGCAGATTTCTCCACGTCGTTGTCACTCAGGCTGAAACTTTCCTCCCAGGAGTGGCTTATCTGCATTGCTGTCTGGACCCCGCGCTCATGGACCATCTCTTGGTTGATGAGGTCCATGTCCTCCTCCTGTTTGATCTGGTGCAAGCGGCTTCTGTGCATGCAGATGGGGAAGGCCAGGAGCAGCAGGCCATGGTGGCCTGGGAATGTGGTGCTGTTCGGCCTTGCGCTAGGTGCCTGGGCCTGGAACACTGGCGAGGTGTCACTGAGGCCATGGATGAGGGGGGCGCTGTTAGAAGTCCAGAGGCCCCCTCCGCCGCTGCCGCAGCTGCAGCCGCCTCCACCTCTGCCTCCGCTGCTGCCACAGCCGCCCTCTGCCGGACTCCTGCCGGGACCCGGAGGCAGCTCTGGGTCCAACTCCATCTTCTCCTGAGCCATGTAGGGGGCAGGGAAGCGGGGGCGGTCCTTGGTCAGGCCTCGGGGACTCTCATACCCCGCAGTACAGGGAAGCCACCGCCACCACCACCTTCTGGGGGGCTATCTTCTGCATCCAACACATCCCCACCCCCAGAAAAAAGGAAACATCCCAAGAAGGCAGGTGTGGAGGTGCTGCACCCCACCTCTGACTAAAGCCACCAAGTTCCCCCAGGGAGGGAAAGGGTGCAGATGCATGGCTCTGTGGCTCCCACTGCTCTACCCCAGGGGCTCAGTGGCGCACCCTCTTCACCCATCCCTGCATCTTCCTTTTTCCTGGGACACTGGCCACTAAGGATGGGGGTGGGATTCCAGGATCAATATCCACTCTCCCACCTCCCACTCCTGGGGGGCATTTGTGGCAGAGTCAGCGCTGGCCTGCCTGGTGCTGGGGAGGCGAGTTTGGGACCCAAGAGGGGAGGCAGGTGTCATGGGTCTGGGTCCGTGGGGGGTGGGGGGTAGGGGGAGGTCGTGAGGTGCAGACCCGCGGGGCTTCCACTGGGGACCAGGTCCGGCTACAAGGAGGCCAGGGGTGCACCATTGCTGGATGACTCCAAGAGGCACCACGGGTCCAAGCTGGCTGCAACCTGTTTCAAATGAGGTGCCACGGGGAGGGCAGGAGAAGGGGCCGGGGCAGGGGCGGGCAGGTGGCAGGGCTGAACTTGTCCCCTCCACAGCTGAGCTCCTGGTGCAGGGGCCTTGGACTCAGGGCCTACCTGGCCTCTGAGCCTCCCTGGGGCTGTGAGAGGGATGTGCCTGCTGTGCTGGCTTTGTGTCCTCTTTGCTCCTGGCCCAGACTTGTGCTCCTACAGCAGCGGAGGCCAGTCATGGATGCTGCCACACCTGGTGCATGTGCCTGCTCTTCTCTGCTCTCTCTCTCTGCCCTCACTTCTCACCCAGGCTGCCCAGCCCCTGCTGCACAAGTATGCCAGCTCCCGTGTGCCCCTGTCTGCAGCAACTATGTGCCCCTTCAACCATGCCCTGTCCTCCCCTCAGTCACACTACTTCCCCACCTCTGCCATGCCCCCGCCCCTAGCTTTGTACTGCCCTGACTCTGCCTTAAGGCTACCAGGCCATGGCAGAAGCAGCCTCACCTCAGCTCAGGGCTTCCCCCCAACCCAGGAAGCTGTCTGGGGGAATTGAAGATCCCCTCAGCCCAACCAGTGGGGGAGACTCTTCCAAGCCCAAAGAAACAAAGGTCCCATGGTTTCTCTTATTTGCAATATCTAGTATATGTATGAGTCAAGCAGAAAAGGTCAGATAATGTGATGTTAGGAAAATGAACCCTTACATATGTATTTAAATGTTTTTTTTTCTTTCATGCATTTGTTTCTAACTCATTTATAAGATTATTTCTTTGTTGCTTTGTATGTCCCTCCCCCAAAGTATAACCCCTGTTTTCACTATATTTGATGTCGGTAAAATTTGTGGAGGAGATGGGGAAAAACAAGTCATTTAAGGATACAGGTGGACCCGTTGCAACTATGAGAAGTACAAGTTGTCATGTCCAAAAAGAACTTTACAACTTTGGTGCCGGGTTGGGGGGTGGGGGGGATTGCGTGAGGGGGCGGGGGGAGTCTGGGAAGGGATGTGAAGGGTAAACAAAGGAGGAGGCTGCAATGCTTGATAAGAAATGTACTCATTATCTTACCCATGTAATTGTAACCCCTCTGTACAGTATGTTCACAAAAAATAAAAATAAAAATTAAAAAATAAAGCACTAAGAACCCTGTGTAATGGATCCAACAAAATGTGCCTTTTGAAAGACTCAGCACATAACAACTTTTGGGATCCTCATGGTAATTTAATTACCAATAAGATTAGACATGCCATTTTGACATCACTAAACTTAAATATCATATTATGGCATTATATATAATAGTGACATTAGAGACATATTGTGAATTCCTATTCTGTGATTTCATTCTATTACAAGCTAGCAATATTGGTGGATATCAGAAATCTATTGTGACCTCAAAGCCATTGTGACATGAAAATTCCTTTTTGACATCACAGTGCCATTGTGATATCATTAACCTGTTCTGACATCACAAACCTGTCCTGTCCATTGTGACCTCATCACCAATGTGACATCACAAAGCCATTGTGATATCACATTGCTATTGTGACATTACAATCACCTTGATACCTCCCAAACCCATTATGACATCTTTAGCACCTTTGAAAAAACACATGCCTTTGTGACATCACAGTCCCTTTGTGTATCCATATCCTCATTGTGAAATATCAACTGAGATCAGATACGCCATTGTAATATCACAAAGCATTTACAATATAATCATTGGTGTGACATCACATTGTCATTTTGACAATATCAGGTCATTGTGACATCACAAATCTGTAATGACATCATACCACTATGACACCACATTGTCATTGTGACAACATATATACATTATGAAGGCCTATTATGTGATTTCATTGTATTTCAAATGTGGGTTCATATCAAACACATTTGGACTTCATAACCATTGTGACATGCCAATCCCTTTGTGATATAAGATTTCCATTGTGATATCTCTAAACACCTGTGACAACTCAAACATGTCCTGTCCTCATAAGTTTTGTGACATGTTGCCACTGTGTTAGGCCCATTGAGAGCTCAATCTATTTTCGATCTCATATTATTTCAGGTATGACATTAAATATTAGAAATATTCTGTGATATTATGAGTATTGTGACATCACACTGCTAGATGTAATGACCATTGTGTCACATTGTCACATCACAAATCTGTTCTGACTTCATCACATTTGTGCCAACAAATGACTTTGGAATCGTCACAATCCCATTAGAAACTCATATACTAATTATATGTTAATGACAATTGAGGTCTGGAATGCCATTGTCACATCACCAAACTACTGCGACATCACAAAACTATTTTGAACTCATCACTATTATGGCATCACTAACTAATTGTGATATAACAACACTCTTATGACATTATAATTTGACATTATATTGCAATTCTGATATTACTGAACCCTCATGCTTTCATGCTATTATGATCTCATCACATCTTAGAAAATTATGGCCTTTGAGACATCAAGCTCCTTCTGTGAACTTTTATCATTGTGAACTTGTAGCAATTGAAAATTGAAATAAGATGTGATATTTCAAACTAGTTTTGACATCACTAACCCATTTTTATATCATTAACACTTTGACAACCAGAACCTGTTAGGAACCCTAGTACTTTTGACAAAAAACATGGCCTTTGTTTCATCACAGTTCATTTGTATATGTCATTGTGACTTCATCCTCATATCCTCACTATAAACTAATGGCAAGGATGTGAAGGGTAAACAAAGGAGGAGGCTGCAATGCTTGGTAAGAAATGTACACATTATCCTGCCCGTGTAACTGTAACTCCTCTCTACAGTATGTTCACAAATAAAATTAAATTAAGTTAAAAAAAAAAAAGATCTCACATGTGATTGTGACATCATAAACACTTTGTGACATCATCACCAGTGTGACATAAGATGGTCATTATGACACCATCAGCTCATTGTGACATCACCAAGCTACAGTGACACATAGCATTATAACATCACATTGCCATTTTGCTGTCATAGACATATTGTGAATGTATATCTTTTGATTTCATTCTATTTCAAATGTGGCATATCAGTTGATATCAGAAACACATTGTGACCTCATAACCATTGTAAGAAAATAAACCCTGTGCAACATCATAACCAGTGTGACATTATATTGTTGTTATGACATCTTTAGCTTATGTTGATATCACAAAATGATAATGACAGTATAGCATTTGCCATTGTCATTGTGACATCATTGTCACATTAAGAATGCCAAATCTGTGATTTCATTGTATTTGAAATGTGACATGTGGGTTGATATCAGAAACTCATGGTGATGTCATAACCATTGTCTCATAAAAGTCCCTTTTTGACATCAATTTGGCAATGTGACATCACACTGGCAATATGATGCTAGTAAGGCATCGTGATATCACAATGGTCATGAACTCACAATGGATTTCTGGTATCAACCAACATGTCACATTAGAAATAGAATCAAATAACATAATAGGCAAACACAACGTGTCTATGACATCAGAATGACAATGTGTTGTTGCAATGCTATGATGTCATTGTAGTTTTACATGTCAAAATGAGCTGATGGTGTCATAATGGCAACATGATGTCACAATTATGATTATGTCAGAAAGGATTTATTATGTTTCAATGGTATATCTGATGTCAGTTTTCATTAGTTCCCCGTGAGGATATGGATACAAAAAGATTCTGTGCTGTCACAGAGGCCATGTGTGTTTTCAAAGGTGGAAAGAGGTCATTATAAATTTGGGATGTCCCAATGTGATCCATAATGTCACAATGAAAATGAGATATCCCAGTGGGTTTTTGATGTCACAGTAGTGATGAGGTCACAACGGTTTTGTGATGTCACAGTTTGTAATATCAGAATGATATATCAAATTTCAATGACTCATAATTCAATATGAGGATACCAGATGATAGAAGAACCTCCATAGTATGAGGTCATACTATGTGAAAACCCGATGGGACAGTGATTTCACAATGACAATGTGATATCTCACCATCATGTTATAAGAATATTTTGATGTCACAATTGGAGATGCAATATTGATGAGGAGGTCACAATAGATTTGAGATGTCCCAAGGGGTTGGTGATGGCACAATGTCATGTGGGAACTCAATTGTCATTAACACACCATGAGTATATGAGTTTGGGAAGGGATTCTGATGTCAGCAAAACATATGTAGTCAAAAAGGTGAAGAACTAACAGATATGAGATGTAACAAAGTGACATAATGGTTATGATATCCAGTGGTGTGATATCATGATGTTACACTGGATTTTAGATATCTCATGTCATATCTGAAATACGAGGTCGAACACAGATTTTCAACTCACAAAGTTCCTAATA